ATCTATGTTCATAGTCGAGAGAAGTACGTCTTCAACTTGTGATTTCCCCTTATTTATTGCTACCTCCTTTTCATCAAAGAGTGAACCAATATGAAAATCATCCCCACTCTCTACACTGACCTGAACAGTATCTCCGTCGTCTGAGTTTCTGCTACTAGAATCATCCTCAGAGGAGAGACCATCATCTGAGTTTTCACAATGAACCCAAAGATCCTCTATGTCATCGTCCTCATCCTTCCAATCTGCCTTCGACCTTTCATATCAAGGATTAGGCCTATTGCAACATTTCCACTGCAGCTGCGAGAGCTTCGAACCAATTCGGCTGCCTTAGGACGAAGGGGACGATGATAGATAATAAATGTTGTCCCCCATCACCCTATTAAAAGCCTCGCACGTGCTCTTTAAGTTATCATGTTGCCTAGTCATAACAGGTGGTTTGGCTTGCCAGTTTGACCCAGGATCAGCGGGTGGACCATCCTTTTTACCCCCTCCTTTAGCCATCGATCTAACTGAACGATGAAATTCAAAAACATTTAAAGAGCCCATCTTTAATGACTTAAAGCCCGACGGTCCGCCTTCTAAAGCAGAACCGACATTACATTGCTGATTTTCCATAAACTCTTGTCCTCCTGGCATCACTCTGGATACGTCACCATCGTCTCCTACCTCCTTGCCTTTCTCCCATAGCACCGTTTCAACTTCCAATGCTAACCAGACTCTCCTCCATCGTCCGCCTAAAGAAATCTCAACGAACCTCAAAACTCTCTACGAATGAGAACCCTGAATCTTGATCTTAGTGGCTTGAACGGAAGAAAGGTTCACTGCAATGAGCAACCCTCCACAGAGATCTATAACTCTGGAGAAAACCTCCTACTTCCAAAGATTGAATGAAATAACCTCCTCTTCCTCCAACACAAACTCATTGCAGAACGGAAACCAACTCTACAGCAAGGCCCAACCTTCCCGTGTCTGTATCTTAGCCGCAACCTCAAGAGGACGACCAATGAACCGAAATGGGCATGGTTCAAGTAGTAAGAATTTAAGCACTCATAATTTAACGGATATGGCACTAAACAGAACGGAATAAAGAAGTAGGATTCATGTAGTCGATCCTGTATAGTTGGGAAAAGGTTTAAATCATTACTTTAAGATTAAAAAAATATAATAAAATCATTACAACTAAAATATCAACTATAGGTATTATATAATAATCTTTTAAACCCTTAAATTTAGTCTAAATGGAGAAAGAGGTTATCTTGAAATAGTTATCATTTTAAAAACATCAATTTTGACCCTTAATATAAATACAATTATTTAAAATAGCATGTCCTTTTATAATTTCAGAAATTAAATAAAACATTTTAGTAAATTTTTATAGATTAATATTTACAATGATAAAGAATGTTTACAATAAATCATATACAAAACTTCTGACATTTCTAACATTTTTTATTTTTAATTGATTGACATTTCCACTGAAACTAGCCCTCAAAGGCTAAAGGAAGAAGCGACATGGTTGGGTGTTGGAGGAGCTATGTGTAAGCCTCAAGGCATAAGCCTCAAAGTATGAGTTATATGTATTATCCATAAATATAACAGGACACACACATGATATACAACGCATGTATTTATAATTTATTATAATTTTATGTATGTTGGAGTACACTTGATTTTGTAGCAAATTTATGTATATATATTCTTTTTAATATCAATCCTAGGTGTTTTTAAAGTTTATTTTATTTATAGAAAAAATCTTTTTATATTCATATTGTGTTCAGAAAGTTTGCCTCCCTAATGTTGTGTCTATACCACCAAGAACCAAGTGTTTTTCCTTTCATCAAATTCACGATGATCTCAGAGTCTCCGCCATGGACTATTGCAAAGGTGAAATCAATTAAGTTGTCAAATCTACTATCATCCACCAATAAAGCTAGGGAAGCAGCAGAGATAGAGACAGCAAAACAGGAATCAACTCAACAAAACTATAATCGAGCAAAGTTCCGATTGATGCTGAGGCCTGGAGTCTAGTGTTCAGTTGTTATCATTGGTTAGGGGACTTAACCAATTTGTTGTTGAGTTGGTCAGGTGGTCTGTCAATTAAATCAAGGGCTGAAGCTGAGGTTTTGGTTGATTGGTTGCATTTTGTTTAATACTTTGATAGAAGGGTTTGGAGTAGGTTTGGGGCAGTTGTTGGGTTGTTTGTTTCTTCTCTCGGGTGTCTTCCAGTCATCTTTAAACTAAGCATCCTCAATTATCCATATTACAATTTTGTAACCCACCACCTCCCATAAACTTTCCCCTAAGTCCTCTCTCTTGACTTGTGGAAATTCAGGCAACATCAAAACCCAATCTACAACAGATTTGCCAACAGCAGCCACCAACTTGTCTAACTTCCATTCCTTGTCTTCAAAAGATCTTCTATCCCTTTTCTTCCATAAATTCCAGCAACCATTAACACTCCAGGACAACAATCTAATTTCAATCTCAACCTCCACTACCCTTCCTATCTTTTTCTTCAAACAGCCCCTTCACTCTTCTTCTACCAAATCCTCTTCCCACTCCTCTCAGACCTCTCCCCCCTCCCCTAAGACTCTTTTCTTATTTTTCTTCTCTTTTGCATATCTAAACTGGTCAATTGCCCTTCTAACCACTCTCTCCCCTCCCACAAAAAATAAACCGAAGAGATTTACCCATTTCCACATGTCAATCCACTAGCTTCTCAATTTCCACCTTTTTCTCCCCTAAACCTCCCTCTTTTGAAACCTTCTACCCCTCGAGACCCTCAAGCGCCTCATCCAGTCATCCCCCTCCTTTATCCCCTCTCCCAAGACCTCCTGTTCTCTCACTTCCCCCCTTCCACCCCCATCTTCATCATTTCCTTGATAATTTGTTCTTTTTTCTGCTGTGTACTCTTTTTGGCTGCCAACAACTTCTTTCCAAATTAGGAACCTTTGTTGTTCTTTTATTTCCCCTTTCACCCTCCTCTTCAGTTCCAATTCCCTCCTCTTTCTATATCTTATTGACTTCTTCCAATGTCTTTGAAATAAATAAGGAATACGAACTCACCTCAGCATTCACACGGGCAACGATCACTAAAGATCTTGACCCAGTCACAACATTCTCCCTTCTCCATGTCATCACTGAAAAGTCCACCTGGTTAGCACTGGTGCACTACCTCTCTCCCTATCTTCAGTTTCTGTGTTCCTCGAAACTCCTCTCCAACTATCAATAACAGGTTCCAGACACTAACTGCAGTCAACGACATGATCTGGATGGAAGAGATGCCATCTTATTCTTGGTTTAGACTGCAATCTTGAGCAAACACCTCTTCAAGCACCGACTTACCTCCCTCAAATCTCGCAACCACCCAGACCCATTCATCCATTGAGCTCCCTCTCTCCAAACAACCAATCTGTCCTGACCTTTCTTTCCCAAAAATACCCTTACTCCTGCTACCGTTTGTGTTGGTTCGCTTTTTAAACCCCATACTAATTTTCTTGAAGCAGTGGTCCCTACACCTAATTTCCTTTGTGTTAAAACTTCCTACAGCCTGTGTTTTATCTCCCCCCCCCTTCTTTCACCCGAGCCTTGATCTTCTATCATCTTAAAATTCTCCTCCACGTGGACATCTCCTGCCCGTCCACTTAAACTCAAGTTCTCCACGTGGACATCTTCCTCTGTATCCTCCTCTACCCTGCTACCTGAGGCCTCTATGCCTCTATCTCCCCCCCCCCCTATTTCCTTCCTCTTCTATGTTCTTCTGCTCTTCCATCAATCACTCCTCCACTCTTAAAAACATTTAGTCTTCCCCTTCAACTATTACTCTAAGGCCATAGCTTTCACCTGCAAACATAAGAACCATCCTATATAGCATAACAAAGGCATTCTCAACCTCAATCAAGATTCTAGCCATGTCTAATTTCTTCCAAGACCTATTTCTGTCATTGTACTTCAAGAATATTCCACACCTGTTGCCTATCTCTTCAAACGTTAGAATACTCCACGCGTGTGAAGGTATGTCGATCACCTCAATCCACATTGCTCGTCTCCATCTACCTCTGGACACTTCTCCTGCCGCTAGGAACCACTAATCCAGCCGTAGGTCAAGGCTCCTCTATTTTTATCACTAAAATTCCAAAACCCACTCCATAGCACGCCTATTGTGGACATGAAAAGCATCAGACCTCCGTTCAACTTCCTCACCCCCATCCCCATAACCCTCCCTCTTCCCCATTCTAAGCCCACCTAAGCTTCAACTTTCTCTACCTCCATCTCTCTCCCAACTACTCTGCCAACCAAGCTAGCGTACAACACCCTCATTCATTCCCGCATATTACCAACACTCCTAACGTCAACATTCACCTCCACCTCCATTGCTTTTTCTTGAGATATGCCTATTAGAGCATCATTTCATCTTATCTAGGAACAAGTACATCCATTAATTTTCTGCAAGGCACATAGAATGAAAACATAGAAAAGGCGCAACATCCATAATATGGGAACATCTGCAGATCATTACTGTGACCCCTCAGACTAGACATACCCAGTCTGATTACCATGTAATCCACTCTTACAAATAGAACAAAGTATACAGTGATGCAAGGCCCTTCTGAAAAAACTTTGTATTGTGCTATTGAGGATTTGTCACCAAACCCAAAAACAGAAATCTTAAGGTCTCTCAAAGACCATAGTAGGTATGCTAATGGCATATAAAACCTATCAAAAAACTGATAATGGTATATAAATAAGTTGGGATCCATTTGTTTTCATCATTCATGACAGAATATGGTAAATGGCAGAAAGAAGAAAATATAAATCCAAAGAGCATAAGAAAATCTCAAGCTAACAGCATGAGAATGCAGATTTGAATCTAGGACTGAACACTTCAGGTAAGAAAACACTGAAGACAGGACTAATATTGAGTAATGACCCCTTTTTTTCTTTTTAGACATTGTACAGATCACAAACAACATATAGAGAAAGAGAGACTAAATGCTTACATTTATTTCATGATCTTCCCCATCCTTCTCCAAGTACATGACATTACAATCTTTTAAGTCATGTACATTTCCGTGTTCATCTATTTTAGCATCACCAAGCATAGACAAACACTGATCCCATTCTTTCAGCTCCTCCTAATACCAAGTAGAGAAAACAATAATTAGATTATAATTTACCAAAGCACAAACAAGTTACCATCCAAGAAAAAACAAAGTACTAGAACTCTTCGAAAATTTTAACGGCAATTGTTTAGAAGGAAAACAATTGCTGTTAAAATGGGTTTGAATGTATTAGGGAAACTGGGAGTGGCATTTGAGTGGATACAAAGATCATCCAACAACATAAATGATTCATCAGCAAGACAAGAGCAGAAATCATTTCCATTAGGAGGTGACTTCCCAAGGGGAAGCTTGTAGACAAAAAACAACAGCTTTTAGGGATGGGTAGCAGATGCTAGTCGTATAAGGGATGCTTTTTTATTTTCTGATTTTTAACATTGGACTTTATTGGTTACGATAAAAGAACGTTATGTACAATGGACTTGGCTTCCTTCGTTAGGCTAGCCTTCACTACCTAACCCCAACCTTTATATTTGACCATATAAGGCATGCTTTGCATACTGTTCTACACATTCACCATTCTTTAATCAATAATTTTTTGAAAGATAAATTTTAATCAGTGCTACATATTATCAATTCTTTAATCAATGATACAAAAAAAATGAATTGTTGCTGATCAAGAAAAAAGGATTTGGATGCATTCCAGAACAAAGGATAGCCAGGAATTTAGCAAAGCATTCAAATGGAAATATAAATATGAAATAGAAGAGTAATAGAGAGATATAAACAGAATGTTTCCATTTGATTGTAGCCTTTTTTTCTCAAAAAGAAAAACAAACAAGATTATATATATATAGTCCATTTTGAGTAGGAAAATTAGCATTTATGCAACAATTTCGCATTTAAACATTGATTGTTGATGGAAGAATAGCTTGTTTGCTAACTTTCATTTTTTTCATTTTCCCTCTTTTTGCCTTTTCTGATTGATAACAAGGAAAGCAGACCGGAAATATAAAAATGTGGAATACAAGTACCAGCATCCCCAAAAGAGGAATAGTGATTCCAACAGAAGACCTAAAAGAGGCATCCAGCTAGGACAGACAAGAAAAACAAGTCATCCCAGAAAAGTGGTCCCCATGAACTCACTCCTGTCATGATTGAATGATTGAATAATCCAATTTACTACATACAACAAAGACACGGGTGAAATAAGAAAGCCAAAACTGGCATCATCGTGGTATTGGAGGATAATGAACAGCCCAGACAAGAAAAGTTACCACAAAAATTCTATAATGATAAAGGCCAAAGGAGACCAAGAACTGTTTGTCTCTTGCAGCTCAAAGAGAAGTGGGTCCCAAACTCCCATGAAAAAGAAAATACAACTAGTGGAATATGGATAACTTGGCAATGGAAAATGAGCACCAATTAGGTAATATATTAACTGAGAGAACTCAACACACAGACATGTCAAACAAGTCATGGTTGTCAAGGCATCGCCTTGGTTACTAGGGGCAAGGGCGCCTTGCCTGAGTGCCATGGCTTAAATAAAAAAGGCACCCATCTAGGTGACTAGGTGCCCAGATAGGTGACAAAAATCATAAGACAAGTTCCTTATAATAACACGATTGCCATGGCTACATATTAATACTATGTCTTAGTGTTTTAAAAGCGCAAGGCGAGGTGCGCGCCTTTTTGAAGCAAGGCGCAAAAATTTTAAAAAATCAAAAAAAAAGTCAGAAAATTTTTAAAAAATGCAAAACAAAATAAAAAAAAAATATTAAGCATAATATTAATAAAAAATATAAACTTAAATTTTAAAATAAATGTTTTAAAAAACCTATTATCTAAAATTAGAACAATAAGCATAACATGTAAAGCATATTCAAATGAAAATTTAAAAATAAAATCAAACATATAAAGCATTTTCAAGCATGTAAACCCCACAATCTCTTTTTTCCTCAATTGCATTACTTCAAGTGGCTAATGTGATGTAAAACATATTGCATTCCTGATTCTACAAGTCGCCTTTGCACCACGCCCGTCGAGGCAAGCCCAAACAAGTCCATGTTAAGGTCTCAAATTCTTAATTTTCACATAAAAACAATGATTTTATAACTTTAATTGCCTTTTAAGAAGATATTTTATTAGAATGAATGAATGAACAACATTATCGAATAGGGGTTTGACCCTAACATGGACTTGTTTGGGCTTGCCTCAAGGGGCATGGTTGGGGGTCCGGGGGCCCGACCCAGCCACTAGGTTCAAAAAAAGCAAAAAAACATGAAATTTTCAAAAGCCGCACGCCTGGCCTGAGGAGCAAGGCACATCATTTTTGAAAGGGTTGCACCTAGTACCTAGGCGAGGCGCATACCCTAAAATGCGCCTCGCCTGTGCGCCTAGGCACGCCTTTTAAATCATTGCTATGTCTATTGTTAATACACCATATGATATATTATGTATATCTTTATAATGCCCATACTTGCCTTTGCTTCACATTCAAGCTATAAAAATTAAAACAAGATATTTTAATGGCATCATATAATGTCAACATTTGCAAACAGTGATTGCCATAAATTCCAAAATTTCAATCTTTAACCCAATACATCAATTAAGGGTTTGTCCCTAGGTCTTTTTCCCTTTTCATCACTCTTTCTTAAATTCTTTTATTAGTATGAAATTGTAACCTTCTTTAGTTACTAATAATCTTTTAACATGCAATTGCTCCACTAAATACTCATTATGACATGGTGTTGTGTTTGATTTTTTTTTTTTGTTTTTTTGATAATTGAAAAAGCTTTCATTAGTCAAGAGATATAAAACTTTACAAGAATCCTTTGGAGAGGCATGACATGCAGCCTCCCCTAAACATTACAAGAGATCAGAATAAAGATTACAACGCTGCCTAAAATAAACGATCCCTAGTACGTTTAGCAATATGATCAGCCAAGGCATTTGCCTCCCTACCCACCCACCCACCCACCAATATCTACATGTTATGTGCCTTGTTAAACATTTAACTTTTTTATGAGATCCCTATAACTCCAAACAACTGAGTCTGGATTTGACAACCAGCCCACAATCACCTTAGAATCCCCTTCAATTAATAGGTTCTCCACTCCTAGTTGATTAGCAATCTGAATTCCTTGTACTGCAGCCAATATCTCAGCTCTTGTAGAGTCCCCCATCCCTACCGGGCCTGAGAATAAGGATATGATGTTGCCATTCTCATTCCTCAATACTCCTCCAATGCCAGACGGCCCTGGGTTACCCTGACTGTTTCCATCAAAATTCAGTTTAAAAAATTCTTCTGGAGGAGTTACCCAAACTGTAGTGGCTCTGGTTTTCCTAACCGAAGTGTGTGCAACCATGGCCCAATTCCTCCAGATGTCTTCAAATGAAAAGGAACTGAAAGTAGCCAAGGATTTCAGCCAATGGATAGCCCTAGTTAAGATACATTCCTTCACTTCTATAAAGGACCTCTCTTTATCTTGGAAGATTCTAGCATTTCTTTCTTCCTAAATTGTCCATAAGGTGGCTGCTCCAAAATATCTCCACATACTCCTCCCTCTTTTTGTTGAGCAAGCAAAGGTAGTTGGTTACAATAATAATTTTACCTCTACCGGTTGATTCCACCTACATCCAAACAAAACAAACATCCAGTCTCAGAGAGTTGCAGCAAAGGAACAAAAACCCAGTAAGTAGTAACAGTCCTCACTATGAGATTTGCACAACCCACACCAGTTTGGGGATAAACAAATGAAAGGCTTTTTTTTGTAAGTTCCCCAAAGCATTAATCTTCCAAGGTACACTTCCCAGCAAAACGCAACAATTTTGGGGGGCATAGGCTTTGTCCACACTTCATTCACTAGGAAAGGCTCAAGTGAAGTACTCAAACAAAGGGATTTGAAGAATGATGCACAAGTGAAGGAACCTTTTGGGATAGGGGTCCACACCCATTTATCAAGAGAAGAAGGGTCCAAACAACACTCTCTAAAATGGATAGAAGTTCAGTAACACAAGCAAGCTCATCCTCCCTTAAGCCCCTATGAAAACCAAAGTCCTAATTCAAGGATAAAGGTAAAACCGAAGGGGGAAAAAAGACAAAGATAACCTCCTTTTTATAGGGAAAGAGCATATACAAAGAAGGAAATAGGTCTTTTAGAAGTTGATTACCCACCCAAGTGTCTCCCCTAAAGAGAACCAAATTTCCAGAGCAAGTGTCATACCTTACAAACTAAAGGAAATTGGGGAGGATGCCTATCCCAAAAGGTGTTGTTGGATAGCCCGATGAGATACCCTAGCATCCCAACCAGAGATGGAACAGCCATGAATACTAAGAACAACCATGTGCCACAAACTTTCTCTTTCCAAAGGCCATCTCCATAGCCACTTCCCCAATAAAACTTCATTTTTTAGGATCAAATTCCCTAATCCCAGACCCGTTGCCTCTTTACTCCGACAAACTATCTCCCAATTAACTAAGTGATCATTTTTCTCTTTCCCTGGTTCCCAAAGAAAACCTCTCATCAATTTCTCTAATTTCCTACCCTCCCTACGGGGGATCCTAAACACAAAGAGATAATAGACTGGTAAATTAGCAAGCATAGCCTTAATCAAGGTTATCCTTCCCCCCATAGTGATATAATTCTTTTACCAAGCTGCCAATTTTCTTTCAAATTTCTCAACAACTAGGTACCAAAATCTGATTTCCCAAGGATTCCCACCCAAAGGTAAACCCAAATAAGTCAAGGGCCAAGAAGAAATAGAGCAATCCAAACAGTTTGCAATAGACTCAACTTCATTGTCAACCAGATTGACCCCTACTACACAACTCTTTTCAAAATTGATCTCTAGATTGGAAACTCTCTCAAAGCCTAATATTAGATCCTTAAGATTTTTCACTCTTCTCGGCTCATTTCCCTCACAAAAAATGATAATGTCATCTGCAAACTGGAGATGAGTTATAGAGACATTATTCCTTCCTATTTTCCAACCATCTATTACTCCCTCCCTATCTGTTTTTTTATATCAATCTACTGAACACATCCGCCACCAAAGTAAAAAGAAAAGAAGAAAGAGGATCATCCTATCTCAACCCTCTGTAGGCTGGAAAGAAATCCTTTACCACTACATTCACTAGCATAGAGTAATGAAGCAAAGTGTGGCAACCTTATATCTACGAACTAATAACATAAGTCTATGATGCAACGCTAGAGCTATACACTAACATTGTAAGTCTATCGTGTGAATACCTCATGCCAAAACTAAAGTCGCACCATCTAACATTTTTCTAACCATGGTAAGGAAGCAAAGCCAATTACCTGGATCAAAATCTAACCAATTAAGGCACCTTAGTCCTTAGAGAGGAAGCACTAAAAGCAAAACAAAGACTTTTTTGTAGAAGAGCTAACTTAGTTCCATCATGTGTAGATGAACTTCTTATCGTTGTTTGGGACTTTTTTCTCCCTCAAGACCCATAGGTGATGCAGAATTGCAGACTCTAAAATAGCAGAACCTCTTGGTTTTCTCCTTGGTCTAAAATCCACCAAAAATTCTTTCTATCCATTCTGACATGGCAAGGGGAAATACTAGGAATGCTTTCACACTGGAAGTGGAAGACTAGAGAATGTTGGCAGTTGACTTACATTGCACAAGAAATTAAAAGCAGACATTTCTATTGAATATCTTGTTCCAATGTGTAAAGGCCAATTCCTTGACTGATGAGCTTGCTAGTTAAGGGCATGAAGGGATATTTCATACATAAAAGTTTTCAGATATGGCGGATACTTATTGTACTACAGCCCCTTGTACAGTTTTTAACTACATGTTCTATTTATATAATTGATTTAGGGTTATCTCATAAACAGAGTGAACTGCCATAATGTCCATGAGGAAGATCAAAAATGACTTAAAAGGGAATACACAGACACTCTTATGATGTGAAAAGTAGAGAACAAATTGAAGCAAGTCATCATCATCATCCAAGCCTTATCCCAACTATATGGGGTTGGCTACATGAATCCTGTTTCGTCATTCAATTCTGTTTAAAGCTATGTCCATTGTTAAATTATGAGGATTTAAATTACTTCTTACTAAAATCAAGAACAAAAGAACTCTAAATTCAAGAAAGACATGAAGAATGAAGAAAAACTAGGAATTAAGTAACTCATATTGTTCATTTAAGCATACATACTTAGAGGATCTAGAAGGAATCAATTCCTGGGAAAATTCTGAAGGAATCAAAAACGTTAAAGTGTTTAGAGATAGAACCAAACAAGGCAAAACCAAAAGTAAAACCATTACTCCAAAATCCATAATAAATCTTATAGCTATATTATGAGCGTTATGTCTTTACGTATACATATTTTCCTAATCTAAAGACTACCAACACCATACTTAATTACCTATAGATCAGTAAACTTTGAAACAAACACTCCCTGAACTTCTAATCTTCGGCAATTGGCTTTTGACCCATTAAAACTCCTGCCCTAAGAACTAGAATAAACTAAAAAATGGTGAATCCCATGACAGACTCCCATGTTATTTTTACTTTTACCATAACTCACTCATTTACATCCAAGTCATGTGATCTGGGAATGAATGGATATATAATCAGATAACATGTGTAATGTCCGAAAAATCATACCAAATGAGTAAGCTTGAAGAGGGGAAAAAAAAATAGCTGTGTGAAAAATGGTCAGCACCTCCATAATGCTGTCAGCGTATAAAGCTTGCTGAAGTAGTATAGTCGAATAGGACTGCAATCAGTCCTAGGTACAATGTGAAATAAACAAAGAAAAGATTGAGAAGGAAAGAAGAAGACGAAGAGATGAAGAGAACAAGAGAAGGAGAACTCGAAGAGAAGAATTCAGAAAAGAGAGTGTTGACTATCATGTCACCCCACTCTACAATTTATATTAATACTCAAATAAAAGGTGAAAGGGCTGAATTACCCATACTGCTTACATGGCAAAAGAAATAAACAAAAGAAATAAAAAGAACTAATAAAACTACCAACTGAATTAACTGCTAACTGAAACTAACCATGATCGTAAACTATCGAGCACAGTGGGGACCACATTACTGTTCTCTACATAGTAATCTTTCCATTTATTTGGAAAAATAAAAAATAAAAATCGGTATTTCATTTCAACTAAACCAAAGCATTCAGAATATCTTCTTCCCAAGTATTTCACTTCATCAAACTTTCTGAAAGCCACTAAACCAGACTGGCCTTTCTTATCTTCTGACACTGGCAACGTGGGAAACTATCAGAAAGGTTTATATATTCTCCATAATCTGCCTATTTCTGTAGTCTTAAATATTTTCAATAGACAAGACTAACAGATTATTCCTCACAAACATCTTCAGAACATTCCAAGCATCCTATGGAATTGAATGTGTGATACTGGCAATCTGGCATTGCTCTTCTCAAAACATCCCTTCCTGTTTTAGTTTTCACATGTTCTTTTTCATCAAAAAAAAAGGAGTAACAATAATCCTGCTAATAATTCTGTCTTCAATTCTAAATCACCAATCATTCGCTAATATGCAACTATTTCAACACAGAAAAGAAACACTATCGATCAGAGAAAGAAATAACCTTGATTGTTAACCTGAAACGGTTTTAAAACCCTACTATCTCAATTAACGAAACAATCAAGGGCACCCGTAAAAAAACTAATGCTCAATCGAATCTCCTAGCATCTGGGGCGTGATGGAGGGAAGAATCTACCAGACATTTGGCGGCAAGGTACCGAAACCGGAGATCACGGAGGACGATCTGGGAAGCGTTGAGGAGATGGAAGGCCCGGCGGTAATGACGACCTAAGTAGAGAGCCTGTGCCTGCATGTAGATGTCGGCGGGGTCGGATGTAAAGGCAGCAACCTTATCAGCGAAGAAGATGGCCGAGGAGTAGAGATGCTTGCTAACGCAGTCTCTCACCACGCCTCGGAGCTTCTCCACCTCTTCCTCTCTCATTTTGGTGAGTTGTCACCGGATAATTTTACAGAAGCTGCCTTGAAGATCAAAGATTGCAGGGGTAAAGAAATTTGTGGATATCTGGGGAGAAGGTCCCGGCGGCAAGAATGTTTGGTTTTGGTCTCTTTCTGTGTATGGTATGGACTATGGACAGTGTGACCGGGAGCGTGGGGGTGTGGGAACTGGGGAGCGAAAAAATGAAAGTGGAAAAAGAGCGGGATGTTTGCTTTGGGCCGTTATATCTTTTATGGGTGTCACTTGGGCCGGGTTAGTTAGGGTTGAAGGGATAATACCCGATTTAGATGGTTTAAAATCCTTCGGTTGGAGTTAGAATTAGGATGGGCTTGGAATCGAATCCAAACTGAATCATTTATTACTAGTAGACCTGTTCATGGGCCGGGTGGCCCGACGGGCCGGCCCGGCCCGGCCCCCCGATGGGCTTGAACACGCAAAAGAACCCGTGGGCTTAACCCCAAGCCAAAAAGCCCGGTTCGCAATAAATTCGAGTCGGGCTCGGGATTTGCCAAAATAGCCTGGCCCGACCTGTAAATTAAAGTTAAAAAACCCTAGTCGAACCCCTCTTCTCTTTCACCTATTTCCAGCCGAACCTCTCTTCTCTTCAGTCTTTACATCCTCCTCAGTCCTTAGTCCTCACACTATCAGGCAGCCACACAACCGGCGAGGCGGCGGACATTCACTGTTCCTCTTCTCTCTCTCTCTCTCTCTCTCTCTCTCTCTCTCTCTCTCTCTCTCTCTCTCTCTCTCTCTCTCTCTCTCTCTCTCTCTCTCTCTCTCTCTCTCATACGCGAACTGATCACTATTGAAATCGCAGCTTACAAATCTCAAACATCGCGAACTCATCTTATAGTCACCGGCGAGGCGGCGAATATAGGCACCGGCAGCGGCGGTGAGTTCTCTCTCTCTCTCTCTCTCTGACGCAAATTGATCACTGTTGAAATCGCAGCTTACAGTCACCGCGAACTTGAGCTTCAGGCTTTTTATCAGGGCTGGGCTCGTGCTCGGGCCTAACAAATTTCCATTCATGAAGAGTAAAAGCCCGGCCCGAGCCCGGCCCATGAACAGGTCTAATTACTAGGATGGCAATTTTACGGGAATATAGCGTATTTGACTCGTTCCAACGTTAATATGACTCGTTTATTAAAACCCTAGAATTTGTTACAAGTTTGAGATTTTATATTAGGGCTATTCACAGGTCGGGTTGGGTCGGTTTACTGCAGTTTTTCCAACCGACCCGACCTAGTCGGGTTACCTGACATAGAAACCGAAACCGACCCAATGTTAAGCAAAACCGACCTGGTCAGTTTGAGTCGGGTTGGATCGGCTTCGGTTCTAAGTTCATCCCTGTGATAAAATCCTTCTAATTTAAAAAACAATCATAAATTGAACATCATTTCAACCATCTCCAATGATAAAATTTATATGAAAAGTTAATTACAAAAATTCTTCATTAATCTCTATTCACTAATCTAAAGTTTCTTGCAACCATTCAAAAACTATGTGGCCTAATGGGCTTTGGAACTTCATGTTTGAACTAGGAACTAAGTCGGTTCGGTTCGGGACGGTTTCGGTTTTCTTGTGTGAAAACCGAAACCGGCCCGAATAATCGGTTTAGGAATTTGCACAACCTGAAACCGACCCGTGCTGATGAAAACCTAGCCGACTCGGGTTGGATCGGTCTGGGTTGGTCAGTTTGGTCGGGTTGGGCCTTCTTATGAACAGCCCTATTTTATATTAAATTCTTACAAGGTTGGGATGGGTTTAGGTTTTGCCCTTACGGTACCCATTATCCAAACCCGATTTATCGGCGAAAACGAGAATTTTATTCAATTAAGAGAATTAATATAGAGATATGGCATATAAAAACATAGGCATTTCAACTGAGAATTTTTACAATAAAGTCCAAAAAAGTTGTTGCCTTGGAAGAAAGTCGGCCATTCCATTTGCAATACTCCTAACCCATGTAAATGAGGCATTAAGTTCCCTTGCTATGGTTATTTTCTCCCTTAACTAATGTTTGTAGTACCAAGGAAGATTACTACTTGAATTGGTCAAAGATATCACTACTTTTTGAGTCCCCTTCTATTTCCAAGTTCTTAAAATCCGCTTGTTTGGATATCTTTAACCCTTGAAGTATAGCTAACATTTCAGCTTTTAAAGAGTCACCTTCCCCTAAAGATCCTGAGTACATAGCCGATACTTCGTTTGAGGAGTCTTTGATCACACCACCAATGCCTACTGATGTAGCACAATCTGACTACTCCTAGCTGGAGGGCGATCCGAACTCCAGATGGACGTCGAGCTACATCGATCTATAAAACAGTGTATCAGAGAACCCGGGGTAGCTAACCCGGCGAGGTCACTCCGATGCTTATTATGCTGTAAATGCGAGCTGAATACTTGAGAGCTTGAGTGCTAGTGAGTAGAGTAATCACGTGTACCTTTGCCTTGAGATTTCGAGTCTTAATATACTGGAGTAGCCGTGGGCTTTACGAAAGAGCTTTGGGTTCTCCGGGCTATAGAGATAAGGTTGGCTCCGTTTTTGAAGGAGGGCAGTACGTGGATGAGGATTATCGCCCACCTCCGATTTAGGCGGAACCGGGATGAGTTCTTATTGTGATATCGGGAGATTCAGGATCTATTGGCTCATCGTGACCCCAAGCGATTCGGGATCTATTGGGGAGGCTTTTGGAGTTGGTTATACGACGCTTCGACTTCGTTAATTCTGAGCTGGAACTTTGATTCTTCAGTCTCAAACTGAATTGGATGCCAAGGTGCCTCTACGCCGAGGCAAGTTTTGGGTCGAGGTGGCTGGATGCCCGAACTGCGAATGTTGTGAACTGGGCTTGCTTGGATGAGTTGTCATCCTTCAATCAGATCGCGCCTACGTGTCCCCTTCCTGTTAGGTCGTGCCAAATCACCCTTCATCACCTAGCATACCCGGATTTCCTATATAGCTCCCATCAAAGTTCAGCTTTACCTTATTGGGGCCTGGCAACTTCCACTCCATTTACTTTTATTTCCTTCAACTCTACAGTGTGAGCTAGGGTTGTACACAAATCGGTTTGGTTTGGTTGCATGCAATTTTGTCAAACAAGCCAAATAGTTTAGGTTGATTATTATGATAATCAAAACCAACCAAAAGATACATAAAACCGACTTATACTAACGATTATTAGGTGGTTGGTTTTTTAGTTTCAACCGAACTGAGACCTTGTTTTGGTTTGATTTGGGCCCATAACTTATGAAACTTTTATCCATTCTTTGTCATGAATACATCTCAAAAGCTGAAACCTCATACTAGGCATAATAAATGCATTCCAAAATTAAAAAAAAAAAAGGTGATATGTTCAAATCGAGTTACTGATAAAAGCATACATTTATGGAAGAAAAAGTAATAAAAAAAGTAGATACTAAATATAAAATTGATGAGTTATTATTGCTCTGCCAGCATATTGCACATCCTATCATGCCTAAGAGCTAATGGCTAGGGCATGGTTTTAGACTTAACTTGCAAACTTTCATAAATAATATAGATAGCTTTCATAAATAGAAAAACGAGTTAACTAAACCTGAGAGATAAGCATGTGCTCGGGTTGGATCGGGTTGTTTTCAGTTTTCACATGTAAAAGCTGCAAATTGAACTGGATTCTTTGGTTGTTCTAGTTTAAGAACCGAAACCAACCAATACCTTTTAAAAACCGACCAAATCGGGTTGGACCAAACCGATTTGGTCGGTTTGGTTGTCATTGTGAACAGCCCTAGTGTGAGCCACTTCATTCCATGCTCTTACAATATCCGTAATTGATATATTTTAGTAGAGCTTGAGTGATTTTACCCAATGTGCAACTCTTATCTTTATGGCCTCCACAATGAACTCTTTTGGCCTATATTTTTCATTGAAAATTCTTGCATTTCTTTCCTCCCATATTGTCTACACCACTACTGCTCTTGTTGATTTCCATATCACCCTCCTTCTTTTTATTGGTTGCCTTAGAAAATTTGGATCAAAGAGGCTTATTACATTCTAGAAAGCACTCCAATTGCAACCAAAGAGAGAGCAAAGAGATTTCCAAACAAATAGTACAAATGAACAATGGATCAATAAATGGGGTAGGGATTCACCATCTGCAAAGCAAAGATAACACATATAAGGGGAGAGGCATTTATTTGGCCTCCTTTTCTGAAGCATGTCGCGAGTATTTACCTTCCCTAAAAACACTTCCCAATGCGGAGCTTGAATTTTTTGTGGAATGGGTTTGCTCTAAATCTCTTTCACTAAGAAATTATCACCCTCAACAATGGTTTGGACAAGGGTATTAAAGAAAGAAGCATAGGTAAATGTGTCATCAAAAGAAGTAGACCATACTATAGTGTCCTCCAAGGATTGAACAAAGAAAACTGACTTGAGATCATTAACCAAGCGTATAAGAGACTCACACTCATTGTCCCTCAAACCTCTTTTGAAACCAAAATCCCAACTCAATCCATAGTGAGAAAAGTGACAAAATTTGAGATGTGTTTTAACTTGTAGTTAGAGACTGAATATAGAATAGAGAAAATGGAGTATCCCCCAGCCAAAGTTCCCAAAAAAGCACCCTAGAGCCACAACCCACAACAAATCAAATGAGATTAAGAAAGATAGAATATACCTCTTGTATTGCTTTCCACAAAGAGCTCAAGGAAGATATGGGGTCTAACTTTTCATCCCAGCCATTGGTCGTCAACCAATGAATGCTTTCTATCACCTTATACCACAACCTATCTCTTTCCAATGGGAACCTCCAAAGCCATTTTCCTAGCAAGAAAGCATTCCTCCGCACTAGGTTCCCTAGTCCTAAGCCTCCATTTTCCTTTGTTTTGCAAACTTGTTCCCACTTTATTATATGATCTATCTTTTCCTCCCCAAGCTCCCAAAGAAAATCCGTCATGAGTTTTCTAAATGTCCTGCCACTCTAGAAGGGATTCTAAAGGTCTAAAGGAAATAAACTAGTAAGTTTGCTAGGGTTGCTCTAATCAAGGTTATTCTCCCACCTGTGGATAAATAATTCTTCTTCCAAGTGCCAACTTCTTTGTAAACCTCTCCACCATTGGCTTCAAAAAATCTTCTCATCTTGGATTCCCTTCCAATGTAACCCAAAGTACTCCAATGGCCATTTTGACTTCACACCCAAAAATCTTCACTATTCCTCTCAAACTTTCATATTCCAAGTTAAT